GGTTGTTCTTGAAGGCCCCCCCCACCCAAAGCCATTCGATGATTCTGTCATTTCCGCCCCCATCTTTTATTGCGCTCACCTCCCTTTGCCCCCTCCACCGCAGAATGAAGAAGGTGCTGAGGAGGCTCAGGAGTCTGAAGATGACTTTGAAGAGATGAACCTCTCGCTCCTCTCCGCCCGCAACTTCCCCCGCAAGGCCAGCCAGACCAGCATCTTCCTCCAGGAGTGGGACATCCCCTTTGAGCAGCTTGAGATTGGCGAGCTCATCGGCAAGGGCCGCTTTGGGCAGGTCTTTCACGGGCGCTGGCACGGGGAGGTGGCCATCCGCCTCATCGACATCGAGCGGGACAATGAGGACCAGCTGAAGGCCTTCAAGAGGGAGGTGATGGCGTACCGGCAGACCCGGCACGAGAACGTGGTGCTCTTCATGGGAGCCTGCATGAGCCCTCCCCACCTCGCCATCATCACCAGGTAAGCCCCAACGTCTCGTGCTCAGCCAGAAGCATTTTTTCTTTCCAAAACACCTTCCTGCAGTCAAACGTTCCTGGGAAGCAAGGCTGGCCATGCCTTCTCACCCTAGCAAAGGGATCTTCTCCATCTCCTGTGATTTATGCTGTAAAGCAGATCGCAAACTCCTGGAGATGTGGGGTTTGAGACAGGAATGGTTGGGTTTAAGCAGGAGGGATGTAACGCGGTGCTGCGATCTCTGTGGTGGGATTGGCACCTGTGTCCTGGGTGAGGTTTTTTTGCCTGGTGCCCTGTTCGGGTTCCTGGCTGGGTGATGGGGTCTGGACCCTGCTCGAGCGCTGCCGCAGGGTGGAAAAGCCTCTAATTGCATGAAGCAGCTGGCCACGCACCAAGACTGGGTTTTGTGAATAATTCGGTGCCATGAAAACAGCTCGGGTGTCTGAAGGCTCAGTGGGGTGCAAGCGTTGGGTCCAACGATCTGTGAAACAGCTGGAAGGGCAGCAGAGGTGGGAGACCTTGCGAGATAAGTCATGGTCTCCTGGAGAATTTCCTCCCTTTCATTGAATCATAGAACCATAGAATGGTTTGGGACCTTCAAGATTATCTCATTCCAACCCCCCTGCCATGGGCAGGGACACCCTCCACTACACCAAGTTGCTCAAAGCCTCATCCAACCTGGCCTTGAACACTTCCAGGGATGGGGCAAAACTGTTGTCTGTATTACACCCAAACTTGTGTATGGGACTGACTGGAGTGAGTTTGGGATGGGGCCAGGGGTAGGAGATGGTGGCTTGAAGACCTGCTGGCTGGGCAGTTGGTGGAACAGGGAGGGATTTGGGGTCTCCCAAACCATCTCAAAACACCTCCAGAGCTGCCTCTGTCCCAAGGAATTGCTGTTACCTGCTGTCACCCCCACGCCTGGTGGAAAAGACAGCACTGAGCATCCCTGGTGAGGCAGCACCGAGCGTCCCGGCGTGCTCCTCGCACGGGTGGGCAACCACAAAATTGATTATTTCTGAATATTCAGTCATTTCCTTCACCTCTAGACTGTGTATTGAGCCACGGGGCTTGACGCGGTGTCGCTTCACGTCCCACCACCAGTTACCTTCTCTGGGAGAAGTTTCCTCAAGGGGAGGTTGAATTTCCAGCCTCCTCCCTGGCGGCGTTTCAGAAAGTCTGAAACGGCAACGCTTGCGAAGAGCTGTTAGCGATGAAATATTGCATCATCCCTTCCTGATGTCCTCTTGAAAGTGGCACTTCCCAGCTCCTTGGTCCCAGCTGGGGTGGTTCTGTGTGTGCCAGGGTGGGGGCTTTGCTCTGCTTCCCCGTTTTGCTCAACAGCTGAGGATTTCAACCCAAATTTGTGGCTCCTCGTGCCATCGCTTGCTCCCTGCCCCGCTGGGATCATGGGCGTTTGGTTCAGGAGTTGCGTCCTCCGGGGACAGGGTGACCCCAGCTGGGGCCCGGCTCTCCCCAGCTGGGCACTGGAAAAAATAATACTTGTTATTTTGGCCCGAAAAATAGTCATCCTGGGAAAATTCAGCACCTGCCTCTACCCAGACGAACACGCAGCTTCTCCGTCCCGTTCTGCTCCGCCGTCCCGTCGCAGCCCCTATTTGCTCGGCTTTTCAATCCTATTTAATATCAAAACCTGGGCAATAGATTCATTTTTTGCTTCCCCCCAGCCACAAAGTGGTTTCTATTCTAATGCCTCTTTATATAAAACCGTAACGGTGCCGTTTTTGACAGTTTGACAAAATAAATACGTGCGCTGCAGCAGCTTGATGCATTAATATGAGGTCTGTGAAGCCTTGATTTTCCTCCCAGCTGCGCTCGGTTCCTTTTTTTAAGGTCAAAGTATGGTTTTATTGGATTGCCCTAAATATAACCCGCTCCGGCAACCGGCTTTTATCCGTGTTCTTCGAAGGCTGAATCAACGCCGTGATGGTTTTTTTCAGTTGCAACTGGAAACCCGTTTGGTTTTCTCCTGGTGGGGTTTGTGGGCTGCCATGGGCTCGTGGCCAGTGCTGCCGGTGGGTTGGCCGTGATGGTGTGGCATGGTGGAAGAGGGCTCAGAGCTGGCTTGGGAATTTTTGGAAAGGCCAAGACTGCTTGAGTGCACATCCCTTAGCCCTGAGGTCATTTCTAGACACCCCTTTGAGGCTTCTCTTCTGCTGGTGCTTCCCCAGGAGGCACCTCTGGGGCTCTCTGGGTGAAGCATCCTTTGCTTTTCCCGGGGCGACAGTGCAGGGGTGCTCCCGTGCCCTTGTGCCTGCAGTGCTTGTCCAGTCTGTCCGTGGTTGAACATTTCTGGGGCTTTTTGGGACATCTCTGATCATCTCTTGTGGGGAAAAGCCTTCTCGCTATGTAGGTGTCTCCATGGCATTGAGGTCTGCTTATCTGGCCCTGCTTCTTGGAATAGTCAGATCTTTCCTAAGGGATACAACAGCCTTGGAGACTCCATGTCATGGCATGGATGGGAGCTGCTGCTCCGGTGTTGTAGGGAATGAGTCTGGGAAGAGGAGAATGTGGTGTGAGCTGAACCGGGAATGATCAATGATACTGGGAACCGTTGAGGATGCTGGGAATGGTTGAGGATGCTGGGAATGGTTGAGGATACTGGGAACAGTCAAGGATACTAGGAACAGTTGAGGATATTGGGAATGGTCAAGGATACTGGGAATGGTTGAGGATGCTGGGAATGGTTGAGGATACTGGGAACAGTCAAGGATACTAGGAACAGTTGAGGATATTGGGAATGGTCAAGGATACTGGGAATGGTTGAGGATGCTGGGAATGGTTGAGGATACTGGGAACAGTCAAGGATACTGGGAATGGTAAAGGATACTGGGCATGGCCAAGGATACTGGAAATAATTGAGGATGCTGGGAACGGTCAAAGAAACTGGGAACAGTTGAGGATACTGGGAATGGTCGAGGATACTGGGAATGGTCCAGGATGTGGCACTGGGGGAGGAGGGAGGCTGGTGACCCCTTGCAGAGGAGAGCATCGCTCCTCAAACAGGATTTTTCTGAAAGAATTCAAGTTCTCCCCGTGGGTTTATGGGAATAACTGTAAACCAGGTGTTGTTTGGAGTGGGGGAAGGTGAGTCCCAGCTCTCTGATGGGGCTGATTACCGACACAAACCCAGGACATCCAGATTTCGACCCCGCACGTGTCCGCGGGGCTGAGCTGGCTGAGTGCAGAAGAGGCCCCTTTCCTCCTGGGTGCCCAGAGGCTGTCGCTCGAGGACGTTTTTTCCACCAAGAAAAAAAGAGCAATTTCTTGTAGCTGTTAAAGAAATCTCCGTTTTCCTGCCGGCACGCTGGAAGCAGCTGCCCGTCCCTGGAAGGGGCTTTACCGCGCCGTGCCACCCGGCACTGCCGGAGCGCGGTTATTTATAGATGGGTTTATTTTTACATTTTCACATCCCTACATTTTCCTTCCTGCCCGCTTGGTTTATTCAAGGATCATCTCATTAGCAGAAAGAAATCTCCCCCTCCAAGCGCCATGGCCCACGGGGAGACGCTGGGAGGGCTGCACCTGATGTTGCAGGGGAAACTGAGGCAGCGTCTTGCTGACGGCGTGATGCTTTGGGTTAACGCTCCGATTTTCTGTGCATTAACCATCGGTCTGGCCAGATGGTTGGGACCAGTACTGTTTAATGTCATAGAACCACAGAATGGTTTGAGTTGGAAGGGACCTCAAAGATCATCCAGTTCCAACCCCCCTGCCATGGGCAGGGACACCTTCCACTACACCAGGTTGCACAAAGTCTCATCCAGCCTGGCCTTGAACACTTCCAGGTAATATCTTCATCAACGACACAGATGGTGGGATTGAGTGCTCCCTCAGCAAGTTTGCAGATGACAGCGAGCCGAGTGGTGCAGTTGACACGCTGGAGGGACGCGATGCCATCCAGAGGGACCTGGACAAGCTCAAGAAGTGGGTCTATGTGAACCTTGAGGTTCGACAAGGCCAAGTGCAAGGTCTTGCAACTGGGTTGGGGCATTCCCAAGCACAAGTACAGGCTGGGGGATGAAGGCATTGAGAGCAGCCCTGAGGAGAGACAGCGAGCCGAGTGGTGCAGTTGACACGCTGGAGGGACGCGATGCCATCCAGAGGGACCTGGACAAGCTCAAGAAGTGGGTCTATGTGAACCTTGAGGTTCGACAAGGCCAAGTGCAAGGTCTTGCAACTGGGTTGGGGCATTCCCAAGCACAAGTACAGGCTGGGGGATGAAGGCATTGAGAGCAGCCCTGAGGAGAAGGACTTGGGGGTGCTGGTCGATGAGAAGCTCAACATGAAATGGCACCGTGCGCTGGCAGCCCAGCGAGC